ACTAGTACTCCTAGTAGCACCATGGTATTAGATACCGGTTCGGTTGCTAAATGTTAGTAAACTCGAAATAAAAAGCTGCAGAGTAAACGGAGACTAGTTAAAGGTGAGCTGGCGATATGTGTTGGAAGTTTTTCCCAAGCTTGATGTGATCAAGCATCGCATGCTCCCTCTACCATCGAGATTGGTGCTTGCGTTGAGCATAGACATGATTGGATTATGTCTGTCACAATACGGTTATTCATTGAAGGAGAATAATGGTTACTCTGTTTATTTGAATAATACCTTCAATGGTCTTGCACCTAAAATGAATGGTTTGTTGAATCTCGATCGTAGTGATACACATGTTCATGCCAAAAGATATAAGATAGTAATGATAGTACCACCTACTTGTGGCACTACCATGTAAGTCATATTGGTATAAAACGCATGAAGAAGCTCCATGTTGATGGATCTTTGGGCTCACTCATTTTGAAGAGTTTGAGACATGCGAACCATGTCTATTGGTGTATATGCATGAAGAAACTCCATGCAAATGGACCGTTTGGACTCACTTGGTTTTGAATCACTTGAGACATGCAAATCATACCACATGGGCAAGATGACTGAAAGCCTCGTTTTCAGTAAAATGGAACTAGAAAGCAACTTGTTGGAAGTAATACATTTTGATGTGTGCAGTCCAATGAGTGCTGAGGCGTGTAGTGGATATCGTTATGTTCTTACTTCACAGATGATTTGAGTAGATGTTGAGTATATTTACTTGATGAATCACGAGTCTGAATTATTGAAAGGTTCAAGTAATTTCAGGGTGAAGTTGAAAGATCATCGTGACAAGAGGATAAAAGATCTATGATATGATCATAGAGATGAATATCTGAATTACGAGTTTGGCACAGAATTAAGACATTGTGGAAATTGTTTCACAACTAATACAGCCTGGAACACCATAGTGTGATGGTGTGTCCGAACATCATAACTGCACCCTATTGGATATGATGCATACCATGATGTTTCTTATCGAATTACCACGATAGTTTATGGGTTAGGCATTAGAGACAACCACATTCACTTTAAATAGGGCACCACGTAATTCCGATGAGATGACACCGTATGAACTATGGTTTAGAGAAACCTAAGCTGTCTTTTCTTAAAAGTTTGGGGCTGCGACGCTTATGTGAAAAAGTTTCAGGCTGATAAGCTTGAACCCAAAGCGGATAAATGCATCTTCATAGGACACCCAAAACAGTTGGGTATACCTCCTGTCTCAGATCCGAAAGAAATAAGGGATTGTTTCTAGAATTGGGTCCTTTCTCGAGGAAAAGTTTCTCTCGAAAGAATTGAGTGGGAGGATGGTGGAGACTTGATGAGGTTATTGAACCGTCTCTTCAACTAGTGTGTGGAAGGGCACATGAAGTTGTTCCTGTGGCACCTACACCAATTGAAGTGGAAGCTTATGATAGTGATCATGAAACTTCAGATCAAGTCACTAACAAACCTCGTGGGATGACAAGGATGTGTACTACTTCAGAGTGGTACGTAATCCTGTCTTGTAAGTCATGTTGCTAGACAACAATGAACCTACGAGCTATGGAGAAGCGATGGTGGGCCCGGATTCCGATAAATGGCTCGAGGCCATAAAATCCGAGAGAGGATCCATGTATGAAAACAAAGTGTAGACTTTGGCAGAACGGCTCGATGGTCGTAAGGCTGTTGAGTACAGATGGATTTTAAAAGGAAGACGGACAATGATGATAAGTATCACCATTAAGAAAGCTCGACTTGTCGTTAAGATTTTTTCCGACAAGTTCAAGGAGTTGACTATGATGAGACTTTCTCACTCGTAGCGATGCTAAGAGTTTGTTGGAATTATATTAGCGATTACTGCATTATTTATGAAATCTTGCAGATAGGATGTCAAAACATTGTTTCCTCGACGATTTTCTTGAGGAAAGGTTGTATGTGATACAACCGGAAGGTTTTGTCAATCCTGAAAGATGCTAATAAGTATGCAAAGCTCCAGCAATCCTTCTAAGGACTAGAGTAAGCATCTTGGAGTTGGAATGTATGCTTTGATGAGATGATCAAAGATTTTGGGTGTATACAAAGTTTATGGGAAACTTGTATTTCCAAAGAAGTGAGTGGGAGCACTATAGAATTTCTGATGAATATATGTTGTTGACATATTGTTGATCAGAAATGACGTAGAATTTCTGGAAAGCATATAGGGTCATTTGAAAGGTGTTTTTCAATGGAAAACCTGGATTAAGCTACTTGAACATTAAGCATCAAGATCTATAAGGATAGATCAAAAACGCTTAATGGTACTTTCAAATGAGCACATACCTTGACATGATCTTGAAGGTGTTCAAGATGGATCAGCCAAAGAAGGAGTTCTTGCCTGAGTTGTAAGGTATGAAGTTAAGACTTAAAGCTCGACCACGGCAGAAGAAAGAGGAAGGACGAAGGTCGTCCCCTATGCTTTTGTCATAGGCTCTATACGGTATGCCATGCTAAGTACCGCACCTGATGTGTGCCTTGCCACATGTCTGGCAAGAGGGTACAAAGATGATCTAGGAGTAGATCACCAGATAGCGGTCAAAATTATCCTTAGAGAAATAAGGTTATGTTTCTCGGTTATGGAGGTGATAAAGAGTTCGACGTAAAGAGTTACATCGATGCAAGCTTAACACCTATCCGGATAGCTCTAAGTAGAGATACCGGATTCGTATAGTAGAACAGTTATTTGAAATGGCTCCAAATATAGCGTAGTAGCTGCATCCGCAAGATGACATACATACGAATCTGAATGTTGCAGACCCGTAGACTACAACCTCTCTCACAAGCATAACATGATCAAACCCAGAACTCTTTGGGTGTTAGTCACATGGGGATGTGACCTTGAGTGTTAATCACATATCGATGTGAACTGGATTATTGACTCTAGTGCAAGTGGGAGACTGTTGGAAATATGCCCTAGAGGCAATAATAAATTGGTTATTATTATATTTCCTTGTTCATGATAATCGTTTATTATCCATGCTATAATTGTATTGATAGGAAACTCAGATACATGTGTGGATACATAGACAACACCATGTCCCTAGTAAGCCTCTAGTTGACTAGCTCGTTGATCAATAGATGGTTACGGTTTCCTGACCATGGACATTGGATGTCGTTGATAACGGGATCACATCATTAGGAGAATGATGTGATGGACAAGACCCAATCCTAAGCCTAGCACAAAGATCGTGTAGTTCGTATGCTAAAGCTTTTCTAATGTCAAGTATCATTTCCTTAGACCATGAGATTGTGCAACTCCCGGATACCGTAGGAATACTTTGGGTGTGCCAAACGTCACAACGTAACTGGGTGGCTATAAAGGTACACTACAGGTATCTCCGAAAGTGTCTGTTGGGTTGGTACGAATCGAGGCTGGGATTTGTCACTCCGTGTGACGGAGAGGTATCTCTGGGCCCACTCGGTAGGACATCATCATAATGTGCACAATGTGATCAAGGAGTTGATCACGGGATGATGTGTTATGGAACGATTATAGAGACTTGTCGGTAACGAGATTGAACAAGGTATCGGGATACCGACGATCGAATCTCGGGCAAGTACAATACCGCTAGACAAAGGGAATTGTATACGGGATTGATCGAATCCTCGACATCATGGTTCATCCGATGAGATCATCATGGAACATGTGGGAACCAACATGGGTATCCAGATCCCGCTGTTGGTTATTGACCAGAGAACGTATCGGTCATGTTTGCATGGTTCCCGAACCCGTAGGGTCTACACACTTAAGGTTCGATGACGCTAGGGTTATAAAGGAAGTTTGTATGTGGTTACCGAATATTGTTCGGAGTCCCGGATGAGATCCCGGACGTCACGAGGAGTTTCGGAATGGTCCGGAGGTAAAGATTTATATATGGGAAGTCCTGTTTTGGTCACCGAAAAAGTTTCGGGGTTTATCGGTAACGTACCGGGACCACTGGGAGGGTCCCGGGGGTCCACCAAGTGGGGCCACCAGCCCCGGAGGCTTGCATGGGCCAAGAGTGGGAAGGGACCAGCCCCTGAGTGGGCTGGTGCGCCTCCCACAAGGCCCAAGGCGCAGCTAGGAGGAGAAGGGGGAAACCCTAGGCGCAGATGGGCCTAAGGCCCACCCTAGGGCGCGCCCCCTTCTCCCCCTCTTGGCCGCCCCCCCTCCATCCCATCTAGGGCTTCCGCCCCCTAGGGGTGGGAACCCTAGAGGGGGCGCACCCTCCTCCCCTTCTCCTATAAATAGTGGGGGTTTTGGGCTGCCCAAGTGACACGATTTGATCTCTCCCTAGCGCAGCCCTACCTCTCTCCTCCTCGTCTCTTGCGGTGCTTGGCGAAGCCCTGCTGGAGTATCACGCTCCACCACCACCACGCCATTGTGCTGCTGCTGGATGGAGTCTTCCTCAACCTCTCCCTCTCTCCTTGCTGGATCAAGGCATGGGAGACATCACCGGGCTGTACGTGTGTTGAACGCGGAGGTGCCGTCCGTTCGGCACTAGGATCTCCGGTGATTTGGATCACGACGAGTACGACTCCTTCAACTTGTTCTCTTGAACGCTTCCTCTTAGCGATCTACAAGGGTATGTAGATGCACTCTCCTTCCCCTCGTTGCTGGTTTCTCCATAGATAGATCTTGGTGACACGTAGGAAATTTTGAATTTCTGCTACGTTCCCCAACAGACACGCTCGACGCTATAAGGACCCGCATCCTGTCCAAGCGAATGCTGAAGCTCCCTGCCATGCTCATGCGGATCTTCCTAAGTGTTAGCTCCATTCCAGGTCTCCATGATCGTGTTGTCATCACCAGCGAGTTGCTCCGGACCAACAGTGCCGTGGCTCATGTAACAGATAGCATCTTGACCACAAGGAGCCCGGACATCGCCATCAGCAAACTCAGAATCAGATTTATCTTGACGCAAGATGACTTTCTCACCATTACCAAATCTGTTGCCCATGCCATGGCAGCCCGGAAGGTTGACGCAGCCGAGTTTGAGATCACAACGGAGAAGGCTTATAAGATATCCTCTCCTGATGATCTCGTCCGCTTTGGGAAGCAGTTCAATGATTTTATCGGTGCTTGTCCGGATGCATTTGCTGGTCTTAGGTGCCTGTGGCTGCGCAACATGAGGTTTGGTGAACTGGACATTCCCAACATCCTCAGCACTTGCAAGCTCTTGGAGTCTCTGCATTTAACCTATTGCGACTCAGGGATCCATTCTGTACTCCAAGTAGAACATGCTCTACTTGTTGAGCTCGAGGTTGACTATGGGCAATTTGAGAGAATCGAGCTGATATGTCTACCCAAACTCCAACGGGTGAGCTATACTGGTTGGTACTCTCATGAAGATCCCCTTTATTTTGGTTTTGTACCACAACCTTCAAAGCTGAGCCTCACTAAAACTGGCGTCAGTTCGGATAAGACTCTTGAGTTAACTATGTTCCTTGCTAATGTTCCTGCCATAACCGATCTGCATCTGGATTTTAGAAGTGAAAAGGTACTCATTAGTTTTTGAATCATATCTGTTCCTTCTCACTTTACATATGATGGTTATATGTAACAATAGTAACTTGAGGGGGTCTTCTCCCCCAGTTGAGAATGTAGTTTATATGGAACTTGCACTGACTTTGTATTCTTTTTTTCCATCCTAGATCTGGGTTCTACCAGAATGCCCGAAGCTGCTCACGACTATGCTCAGCAAACTACAGCATGTGAATCTAGACAATCTTCCTGAAGGATGTGATTTAGGTTGGACACCATTTATTCTTGAAGCTGCACCCTCCCTAAAAGCGCTGTGCATCACAGTATGGGATCATTGGTGCATAATGGCGACAGACAAAGAGTTTCGGAAGGAAAATGGTTTCTGCGAAAAGGCAGACGTGAAGTGGAAGCCATATGCCGCTGCTTTCAAGCACAAGAATCTGGCTAAGCTTACCATATATGGCTTACAACCTGACGGCAACTTTATGCGATACATCAGGTGTGTTGTGGAAGCTGCAGTGAATATGATAGAGATATCTCTGCATGACAGAAAGATGTGTGGACGCTGTGGTGACTTGGATCCCGAGATCAAAGACAAGGTTTGTCCATCAAGATATCCACGGACCGCTGAGGAGAGGAAGAGGGCAGTTGAGGGGTTGGGTTTGGCTTCGCCGGCTCTGATTCACTTTCGGTCCTAAATGAAAATTGATCGGCACCGTATTCTTATCATCTATCCTATCATGTATTAGTTGGAAGGAGTTCCTCAATTGCATAATAATTCTATAGTTACCGACCTGTACTCTGCTTTCCCTTCAATTGAAGCTTGTACTATTGCCTAACTGAGCCTCCATAACTTTTCTTTATGCTAGAACCAAACACTTCTGATGCATTGGAATAAGTTGATGTGTTCACTGCTTCCATAGTCCATACATACATAAGGATTAGTTTAGGAACAACAAACAGGTAAGCAAGCACTCATGTCGCCCTCGACGGTTTCTATTTCTGCGGAAAGTGTAGAGACAGTGTTTTCTTACCTAGGAAACTGACTCCGTGGTGATTAGAAAATTATATGTATCTATGGATATGCACTCTCTTTTTTTCTCTCAAATTTGATTGATAGAAGTACTTTGGATGCAGATCGGTGGTTCAAGGGAAAAAAAAGACTATCCAACTTATTTCTGCTACAATTGGCTGTATGTAAATGTCCTAGAACAAAATATGAAGCATGCATGGGTTATCATATTGCACAAATACTCCCTCCGTTCTTAAATATAAGTCTTTCTAGAGATTTCAATATGAACTACATACGGATGTATATAGACATATTTTAGAGTGTAGATTCACTAATTTTGTTCCGTATGTAGTCCATAGTGGAATCTCTAAAAAGACTTATATTTAGGAACGGAGGGAGTAGTTGAGTAAACCAATTGGTTGTTGTTGAGAAAATCAGTGTTCAGATATTATATCTCATGTTCTTCCATTTGGAGATAGATAATAATTGAGAGAGAGAGAATCAAGTTGCCCTGCTTTAGTAAATCTCTTGGATTCATATGACATATCCTCACATTAGATGAAGACCTCATTAAAACTTATTCACAAAATAATAATCCCATAAGCAAGTGTAAATTAATGTATGCAAATTTGTTCACTCATAGTAAAAGGTGTGCTGTGATTGGTCTTGAAAGTCGAACTGTTTAGATTTTTCTCGATTTTTCTGTTGTCTTTTTCGCTGGAAACTCAGAGATGCATTGACCTACAAATCCAATGGAATTGAAATTGTTCCAGCTTGCATATCTAGGATTACTAGATTATCAGTAGTAGAACTTTGAGCCTCTAAATGTGCCTGATTGCAAGACGAATGGTAAGAGATTGATGTCAATATCGTGGTTTCGAAGAGGAAAGGTACTATTAGGGCTTTGGACGATGCTTCGGTGCCTTAAAGGCACCTGCCCTTGGGTCACTGACATGTGGGCCAGTTGGTGCCCACATGTCAGTGACCCAAAGGCAGGTGCCTTTAAGGCACCGAAGCTGCGTCCTAGGCTGAGTTAAACGTATTCTCTACAAATGTTTAAGACTCTTGGAAGGCTGGAACTACATATACAAGGAATCTACAGACTGCATGTCAAGAAGGTATTGTTGTAGTTCTTTAATGTGATGACAAATATTAATGTGCAAAGCAGGTGTGTATTGTTTTTCTGTAGCCATTGTTCTTTCATAGAAACCAAACTCTGAGTTGACAATAAAGTTATATTGTTTGATGAAATTATCTGCCATTTAGACTGTATTATTTATACGTGTATATATACTGACGTTGAACATCTGCAAAGTGCAAATACATTGGAACCATTTTATTAACTGAAAAAGTATATAATGGGTGATCTGTATTGGTTGTATAACTGAAGCGTGCCATACATAAACCATCAAAATTGATAAATCATCACAGTAATCATCGGGCACAGTAAAGTGCGCCTATCTCTGGAAAATACACAGGAGCTTCTGAGTGCTCCATGCCCCTATACGAATATTAAATGTAAAAAGTACCCAAAAAAATCAAAAAACTGAAATTTGGGGATACCAAACCTGGATTCCCAATCTACTTCCCTGTGAAATTTCGTGAAAAGAAACCAGAAAACGTATTCGTGGCAAAGAAAATACTGTCCTAACAATTTTTTTTTTCAAATTTCTCAGTGTTTTTTTAAGCTTAATGTTCATATAGAGGGTGTAGCATCCAGGTGCTACAAATCCGCTTCCATTTATCCCTCTAATTTATTTGACAAAGGATGGATTTTATTGTCTAAGTGTCTAACTATACTCTATCAGCATGGCCGCCATTGACGGCGTGACCCGCCGCAAAACCCGGCTGTCTTCACCGCTGCTCCGGGAGGCATCGCCGGCGCCACTGCCCTAGCTACTGAACACAAAGAGGCAGCGGTCGCCATCGCCATCGCCGCGCCTGCAGGCGTACAGATCGAGGCGGTCTCCCTTGCACAAGCCGCTCTCCTCCACGAGCCGCCTCCACTGGTGCCCCACGACCCGGTACGCCTTGCAGGAGTTGAGGTAGCGGAGGTGGGCGTCCCTCTCGCGGCCGTCGGCGTCGAGGAGCTTGACCGGGACCGCGTTCTGGGCGTTCAGGCCGTCGCCGCGGAGTTCCTCCAGCTCCGGGAAGAGCTTGGGGATGGGGCCGCCCCGCACCTGCTCCTTGGTCAGGAGCAGCCTGTTCTGCCCCGCCTGGACGTCGGACTGCTCCAGCGCCTTGCACAGCGCTCAGTCGGCGTCGTGCACGCCGTGGCTGCCCATCACCTGCCGGTGGCGCGCCTCCTCCGCCGGATCGATGCGGCCGCGGGAAGTCATGGAGCCGTTCATGCGGTTGGGCGGGGAGATCTGTCGTGCGTACGTTTGTGTACGTTCGTGTTAGAGCAGACCTAGCAACCTCCATTATAAAAGAAGTTGCGTTACGCGGTTCAACCCGGCGCGCGCCGCTCAGTCGCTGACGTCACGAAGGCTTCGGCTGATACCACGACGTCGAGTGCACATAACTGTCCCACGTAGATGGTTAGTGCGTATAGGCCAGTGGCCAGACTCAATCAAATACCAAGATCTTGTTAAACGTGTTATCTTGAAATAACCTCGAACGCCGACCAGGGCCAGGCCCATCTCTCTCCTAGGTGGTCTCAACCTGCCCTGTCACTTCGCCACAAAGATCCACACAGAGGGCCGTTGGGACAAAGGTCCTTTCAGCCCCCAATCCGTAATCACTCGCGGGTGCTCCACGAGCCGACCCGTCTTTAGTCACCACATTTATCATATATTATGTATATAAGTATATACCAGTGACCACCTCCAGAGTGATCACGGCCCGATAGTATAGCATGGCAGACGGACAAGAATGTAGGGTCACTGATGGCAAACTAGCATCAAGATTGCAGGTAAAGGTAACAACAGTAGTAGCAAGGACAGACTATGCATCAGGATAGGATTAACGAAAAGTAGTAACATGCTACACTACTCTAATGCAAACAGTAGAGAGAAGAGTAGGCGATATCTGATGATCAAAGGGGGGGGGCTTGCCTGGAAGCCCAGCCGAGAAGGAGGGGTCGTCAACACATAAATCAGAAAGATACGCGCCGGCCCCTCCGATGATCAACTCATAAATCAGAAAGATACATACATATAACGATTGCACATGTCAAAATCCAGACAAGAATTGGGTCAAGCACAAATCATCTCATGGACTAGTACCTTCTCGGCACTGCTCGCAGATTCGCCTATTGAATACCAGCCTCGCGTGCTTTCCCACATGTCTCCCACTTGTACCATCTAGGGTATAGAGCATCCAGGACAGTACGATGGTAGTGTGAGGCGTGCTCGCTACCGATACAGCGAGCAGTCATCTCAGAGATCAGTACCTTGTTGGCACTGCTCGCAGATTCGTCTCCTGAATACCAGCTCTGCGTGCTTTCCTACACGACTCCCACTTATGCCATCTAGGGCATAGAGCATCTAGGGCAGTACCATGGTAGGGTAGGGCGTGCTCGCTACCGATGCAACGAGCAGTCACATCAGAGACCAGTACCTTGTCCGCACTGCTCGCAGATTCGCTTTCTGAACACCGGTGAACGGTGTTGGTGAACCTCGTCCATCGTACACCGAGTTCAAGCTATAAAAATAACCACATACCCTGTCCTCTTTCTCCATCTCCACAACGTGCCACATTCCTTCTCCTTGATTTTCACCTTTTTTCATCCTCCGGCCACAAAAGATCGAGAAGAGGGCTCCAATGGAGGACATGAGCTCAGAGTTGATCCTAGTTCTCATAGTTGGGCTGCTAGCAGCATTGCTTGGCTTCTCTACGCTTCTGTGTGCAATGATCCTAGATGATTGCCATGACGCTGCTGCCCGAGCGATGATTATCCAAGGCACTGGTGGTACTGCCGCCGGAGGGAAATATGCGTGGTAGTGTTCTAACTGAACTATGCAGGAGATATCGTATTGTTGTCTTCCATTTTTTAGCATTTCGTCAGTAGAGACATGTATGTTTGGTAGTGTTCTACTTGCACTACCAAGGAGATATCATATTGTTCTGCTTCATTTACTTTTATTTTTATTTCTTATTTTCATGGTCTCGTCTTGCTGATTCCATGGGTTTTCTTCTTTGTGCTTGTTGACCTAGTCATATGTTAAAAGTATTATGTAATATAGATATATTGTTGTTTTAATTGGTGATTATGTACTTTTTATAGAGCATGACCGATAGATATCACTGCAAGATGAACCAATATTTGTTTAGTAGTCAGAAAATTGTTTGTATATGCGGCCAATTTAAAATTGGTGCTTCACAAGATCTCATCGATACAACGATAACATCTAAATTCAGCATATACCCGCGCGGCGGCACGCCGCGCCTTGTTATGGTTAATAGTGTATACTATAGTATATATTTGAAAAAAAAATCTCTTTTTATTTATTAGTCTTCACTTAGGGTGAAATTTAATTTAGTTCGTAATAATCTGTCTTAAGTGGTCTAATAGAGGTGTGCACGCAATACTATGTTAAAATCATGTATGCTCCATGTTGCTAATTGGTTGGTTACTACTTATTCATTTAATTTTTTGCATGTCTATTAAGTAACAATAATTTTGAATGATTTTTTATGAACATAAAGGCATTGTGGATGCTAAGGTGCTTTAAAAAGGGAAAG